AAACGAGACTCTGCCTCAAAAAAAAAAAAAAAAAGACTGAGAGTACCATGTTACTACTAAATCCATTAAGTACTGCCTTGAGAACATCTTAATAGTATTGAAGAGCTTTTTTTCCCTCCCTTTATTAATGTATCTGATGTTTCCACAATCTTGAAAATAAGAGTTTGGTGGGATAGCTCCTGCCACATGGTTCCAGCCATGGCTGTGAGGGGAAATCAGAGGAACGCACAGGGGTGGGCCATGTGTTCAGGATGAGCCAGGATTGACTCGTGTACCCACAGGGCACTCGGAGTGACCAGCACCCTGATGCCGTGGCCCCAACGATCTGCCGCCTCAATTCCAACCACAGCTAATATTGATGTCCCAGGGCCTCCAGCAGGTGCTGGAAAGCTGGCTGCAAGATTTTCCCAGTAGAGTCTGTATTTGTCTCATGCTGTCTGTCCACGTTGAATCAAGTTCCAGCAGCATCCAGCCCTTGGGTGTGGCAATAATGTCTGCCTCACCACGCTGTGTTGATGGTGACATTCGTGAGTGGTCCTATTTCTCTACTCTCTCTATTGGAAAATTCTTCCAAAGTGTCCTAGTTTAGACCTGTGCTGGCCAGTACTTTAGTCACTGGCCACATTTGGTTGTTGAGCATTGAAATGTGGCAAATCAGAAATGATGTATTCTATGTATAAAACACTCACCAGACTTAGTATGTGTTTTAAGTATAACCACCACCACTACCATCACCACCCCGCCACCTCCTCCAAGACCCATATCTCTGAGTGGACTGTGGCAGAGGCCTAATCAGTCATCTACCTCCTTCTACCCTTGTTCCTCTACAACCCCTATGGTGATCTTTTGAAAGTGTCAAGTCACTTTTCTTCTAGGAAGCTCCCATGGCCATATCTTCTTCCTCACAATAAAATATGCCATCCTTACAAAAGCCCTACAGGATCTGCCCCTGCCACCCCCAGGTCACATGCTCATGCCTCTTACCTGCTACCCCACCCCCTTCCCGGGGTGGCTCTCCAGTCCTCTACCCTTCCAGGGGTGCCCGGTCCTCAGGGACTTGGTGTTCACTCTTCTTCCTGCCCGTAATGCTCTTCCCCATGTGCTCATGTGGCTTCTCCTTCACTCGGGTCTCAGTGTCCAGCTCACCTTGTTGCCTACCACAGCCTTCCCTGACCACCATGTCTAAAACAGCACCCCACGTTTATCTCTCCTCATAGCATCATCGTCACCACCTGACACGTTATGTTTGTTTCCTGTCTCCCATATTGCAATGGAGGCTCCGTGCATGCAAGTTCCTTTTCCCCAAGGGCCTCAAGCAGTACCTGCAACAGAGTTTAGTATTGCCTGATTGGATTATTCTGCCAGATTCATCTCACTTATCAATTCCATGCACCTTTAGGGTGGAAGTTTATTAACCCTGCTGGGTATCAGAATCACTGGGGAGCTTGCCTAAAATGTGCATGCCCCAACCCCACCCTACAGAGATCCAAATGCAGTGGATTCTGGGGTGGAATCTAGAGCATTTTTTAACAAGCTCCCCAAGTGATTTTGATGGCTAGGGTCACCAGACCACACTTTGCAAAACACTATCTCGTCATACCAGTTGATGTTTATCTGTTGCTCTGCCTTGCTGAGTGTTTTCTGTATATCAGCAGTTTTTGAATCACCTGGGAACCTAAATGTAGATCTCCTAGCCCCAGCCCAGATCTTGTAATTCAGAACTTCCAGGAATGGGCCCTGCAGATCTATTGAATATATTTTCAAAAACCTCCCTCCATACATCCAGTGCAGCCAGTCTTCCCATTGGCCGTTGGGAGCCCAGCTGTGTTTTACAGACTCCGTGAGGTTGTCATAAACTCAAGAGCAGGTGTTTACTGTGTAGTTTTAGGCCAACTTCTGTCCTGATCCCCCTTTAATCCACGTGTTCTGTTCAAAACTGGTATTCAGTAAGTCACTGTGGGGTGAACAACTTGGTTTATTCACAATTTCAGTGTGCTTTGGGGACTTGAACGTCAGCCAGTATTTCTAACTGTGTTTCAGATCAACCCATTCTCTGATTAGAGGCAGGAAGCATATCTTAGTTGTCCAGCTCATTCTCATGGGAACTCTCCTTATAGTCTTCTGTCCAGACATTTAAAATGTGTTTTTCAGGTTAGATCCAGAAAGCATTAGGGTAATATCACCCATCATCACACTCAAACCCTCATCTGCTCGACCTTCCTCATGAATCTCTGCCGGGGCACACATACTTTGCCGTCTTCAGTCTTGGGGTGCAATCTCAGGTCTGCAGAGCATCCCCAGAGAAGGAAGAAAGGCTGACCCCTCGCTCTGCAGTCTGGGTGGGCTGATTGGGTTGCCAAGGGGGAGGGTATTTCTCTAAAAGCCAGTGCCTTGCCCTACTTTGGTTTGGTTTTGCCCTAGAAATGTATAAGTATGATGATGTTCTGTACAGGTAGAAAGTTTTAAATCTAAAATCCTCAAAATATAACCAAAAATGAAAACAAAATAGGGGGGAGGGGCAGTGGCTGAGAATCAAATATAACAGGGAATGGTATTTGCAGAATTTTATTCCTTGGCCCAGGCTAAGCGTTAGCTTCCAAGTTGTGAAGAATCATTTATGAAAGCCCCAAAAGAGATCCTCTTGGTTAATTTATGTCTTAAATACCTGAGTCACCAGGGGGGCTCACCCTGGACTTTGGATAGCCAACTCTTTGGTAGCCTTTTTGAATATGTTGGGTTTGTCTGTATTTGCAGAAAACTATGGGGTCATTATTATTCATGACAGAATCTAAAAAGTAGTGGTGTCATCCACGCAAACCCAGGAGGTGCTTGCAACCTTCTCAGCGCACATTATACATCCTGGTGTTGGAGTTTTGCCTCTGGATAAGCCTCGGATTGCATTTTGATGCCAGATGTGAGCAGCCATTAGTAATCAGGACGACCCCCTGTGGGAAGTGCTGTTCTCAGGTGATAGCTGCTTCCTCAGGAACACTTGTCTGAGGGGGACACCAGAGGCTGGGATTTAGGGACAAAAGGGAGTGAATTGACCCTGGAGATGTAAGGATAAGAGATTTCTAATGAGACCTGACAGCCAAGGGCTGAAGAAGGAGTCTAATCTTTTTTTTCCTGCCCACCCAGTCTTCATACAAATGTAAATATGCCTCCTTCAACAAATTGCCAAATGTGGTTTTAATTTGTAAGCAGAAGACCCCGCCTTGCCTTTCTCTTTCTTCTTCTTTTTTCTTTTCTTTCTTTCTTTTTTTTTTTTAACTAACTCACAGATTTTACACTTTTTGAACAGGACATTTCCTCCTGTCAGTCTGTCACCTTTTCTGTTGTCCTTTTTCTTCCAAGGACATTTTCTCCCATTGTTGTCAGAGGAATGTAGGATGAGAGCCTACTGCTCTGTTCCTTAAAAGAAGTTTTTGAAGTTCCCATAGAAAATACATAGTGTTCTTTAAGCTGAGTTTTAAAAATAAATAAATAAAGGGCAGTGATTGAATCCAGTGTGAGATTGGAAGAGAGTGTCACTGTCGCGGTGTTGTACTTTATGTGGTGTACGCGGTATTCATCGTTGTTATTTATGATCCTGTCTGCCTTCCATTGTGGACTTCTTCCAGCCTTGGGGAATTTACATCATTCCTAATAGCAAAAGGCTTTCTGGTTCCCACAGAGTTGTTCAAAGCCTGACTCATGCTCCTTATGTTAATTGTTCAGCTCTGAAAATACAGCACTTACAGGGTGTGGTTTTCAGGGGAAAATCTACTGTACTTAAAGGGCATGTTTAGAAGTGTTCCCCACATAAATCTCAATTGCTCCCTATCTCTCCTCTCTCTCTCTCTCTCTCTCTCTTATTTAACTTAAATTGTTATGTTTTTTGCTCAACTAGTAAGTCTTAGAAAACAAATAAAACCAAAAGGTAGAAGCATCAAAATGCAGTATATCCAATAAAACCTATAATATTCTGTTCACTAAAAACTGATGTGAGTTATAACCATATATGACTTTGAGTGACACTATCCTGGGTCTGAAACCATAGGCATGGTTGGAGAGCTAGAAGACTCGTAGGCAGTGGTCGGGCAAAGTTCACTCAGCCTGCGGGATACCCAGGCATAACACTGATCGCTGCCATCCACCTGTGCTCTGGGTTGTCACTGTGAATTCCAACGTAAGTCTAAAGCAAGGACCTAGAGATCACACCCAAACTGTTCCTTGTGGTGACAACATTTTTCTGGAATTTGATGAGCAAGAGTATTTCATGTACAAGAGAGGTTAACTCCTTGACTGGATCAATGTACTTGATAACCAAAAGGAAAAGATTCCAAAACTTATGAAATGGGTCATTGTTGGCAAGGTTTGGTAGGCTTTTACATTTTATGGTTAATTCCATGTGGTGCCTCCATGGGAACATAAAATGATAGATAATCTATGAATGTTATAAATCTATGGTAGTGGATAATATAAGAAGAAAAAACGTAGTTTTTTTTTTTTAGCAGCCAAGAATCACATATTCCAGTTTTCACAATACTAATATTCAAAGATTTAGCTGTTGGTATGGTCTTGAGTATTGCAAATATTTTCTATTTTTGTAAACAGACAAAATGCATGGAAATCTTAGGATAATCAAGGTACAGACCACTGTGCCACCAGGTTGTCTTGGAAGAAAAAAGTGATCCTAGGCTTTTTTCAGAGTTTGGGCCATAGAGCTGTCAGATATTGGCCAGAAGTTCCCAGATGCTTTGGAATCGACATTCTTTACATCACAGCCTTGTTTGTTTGTGATGCATATTAATGTAGGAAGTGTGTGGACTGGGAGTCCAACAGAATTTATAATCTACCATAAAGTCCTAGGTAAAAAAGTTAAAATGGCTTAACACTAAGCAGTTTCATTTGGTCTTTACAAAAATAAATCTGTTCATCGGGGCATTCAGAGTGTAACTGTTTTTTCTCGTGTTCAGCTAATAGATTTCTGGTTGAACCTTTGTTATCTTTTGGAATAGACAGAAAGAGCTCTCCTTGGAGTGTCTGATTACTTTGCTGAGTGTGCAGAGAGTCCACTTCCTCCCAGTGCAAAACTCCGGAGAAATGCTTTGAAAGAAATGTAGGTCCAACCTTGTTTTTCTTTTTCTCATTTTTTGACTGCCTCTATGTATGGATAGATAATATGAAGTCTAGAATTAAGAGTGCATGGAACCTAATCACAAAATCCCCTCTGGCACTGAACCCTACCCTAAGTCACAAACTTGCTCTTCCCAACCTCCTGTCTCTCTTGCTCTTGCTTTCTGGACAACGAGGATAGAGTCCTTGCTTCACAGGTGTTTTGCAAGGAGTAATTTAATGACAAGTTCTTTGAAGATGAAAAGCACCTGTTGGTGGTGTGTTTCATACAACTTTCCAAGTGACTACAGACAGATCTAAAAAATACATTCTTTCCTAAGATGCTTGTTCTGACTTTAATATAATTATGATAATCCTCATGCTACTGATAGCAATGGTAAGAACATGAATATATATATATATATGTATATATATATATTTGTTTCCACACTAAAGCTTGGTCAAAATAAATATTTCAGCTTCAGTGTTTTGAGTTTGGTGGTTGAAGAAATTTCTTGCCATTCACAAACCTGTAAAGGTTAAGGTCATTAGTCTCTAAATTCTCCCTGTGCAGTTTCTATCCTGCTGCCTCAAAGTTACTTTTACAATCAGTGAAGTTTATGTTATCTGTCGTATGTGCTGAAGAAAAGGGATTGATAGATATATGGATATATGGACACTCTCTTGTCTGCCATGACTGTTTTCTTTCCTTTCGTGTCGGCTGTCTGAACTTTCTTCTAGGACATTTTAAGTTATATTGACTGAGTCCTGCTCCCATATGGTTGACAAACAAGGCGTTCACCAGCTAAATGGTAGTTATATTTCAGTAATGCTTTGCAGTGGTCTGAGAGAAATTTCAGATTATTCTTTACTCCCAAATAGAAATTGTGTGTGTATGCGCACATTTGTAGACACTCATACAAACAAACAGCCTTAAGTATGAGATATATTTGAGCATCTACTCCTAGGGGGAAATAAACAGTATTTCAAACATCAGCAGTTATTGACCCATAATATTCAAATTGAATACCTGTTTCCTTAGTTAAACTGTGAACTCCACCATAACTCTATTGATAACCCAGTGATCAATAAGCAACATATATCCTGGTATAATGGGAAATGTGAAGGTTATTGCTTGATCCAGTCTGCACTTAAAGATACACTTGGGGATTTTTGTAGATTTGCTGGGGAGGTAAGGAGAGGCAGGTAGCACACACTTCCCTTTTCAGGTGTAGGAAATGTGGCAGGGGGAATTTGGAGGAAACAATGCCATCACTGCTTTATAAAGCATAAAAATGTTTTTTTCTGTTTGTTTCAGTATGAAAAGAACTGAAACAAAAAGCAGCAGCGTGAGCAAATCACAGACCAGCATGGACATTGTGGGAACGTCTAGTGGCTCCGTGATTATAGAGATAGCAAGGGAGAGAAATGATGGTCAGGCTTCCTCCAGACCCCTGTCAGAATCCACGGGACAGGCAAAGGATTACATAAAGGCAGCTGAGAGCCACTGGGGGCTTCCTGTTCAAAAGCTGGAAAATGTTAATCAGACCCAGCCAGAAGACACCAGCAGCCAGCAAAAACCTCATCCTGGGGAGCCGTTAAAGACGGGGCTTCTAAGCGGGAGCCCTGTCTGTAGCTGTGAGTCAGCATCACCAGGTCCAAAACAAAGTCCGAGAGCGGCCAGAGCACAACAGAAACGCAGGAACTGCGGCTCTGCGGAAGACTCCGACCACCGCAAGAGAGTTTCTCTTGGAAGTGATCGATTAGTCCCAAGAGAAGTAATAGTGGAGAAAAGCAAAACTGTCAGGGTTTTGCCAACTTTAGAGTTGTCAGATCCGGGGTTACTTTTGAAACAAGATTTGGCAAAAACCACGTCTAAGGAAGAGTTGCATGTTTTGGAAAATCTCTCCTCCAGACATCTCATGAAAAATAACCCAGGGCGGCACAGCAAACCGGCTCGGCCACAAACACTGAAAGATTATCTGTGATGCAGAGCAGCCCAGCCAAGAAAAGAGAGAAATGCGAAAGAGGCCACAAATACTAAAAAGGATTGCAAAGCCATAGTTAAGGATATAGTGGCCAAACCTGTGATAAGAAGGCCTCCTGTATAGATGCTGGGATTTTTAAAGGAATTAATTGGAATGATTATTTTAAATAGTATATGTCTGCCTCAGGGTTTGTTTTCAAAGCAGTCACTTCTAGGAGGATTTATGCTCCTTCTAACAACATTGCTACTTTCTCCTCATACTTTGTAACTGTCTTCAGAAAGTGATTTTAATGATAGCCATCCCCCATGTCAGGGATGAGACTGTGCAAGGACTGTGTGAAGAAACGGATCATGTGCCCCACTTGGGACATCACTGTGCAGACCAACAATGGGCCACACGAAGATGGTGCCACGGTGCTGCAGTTAAGTTCCAGGGATATGATCTGTCCTCCTGCTCCTCAGCCTGAGTAGGAGCAGAGGGCAGTGAAGAAACAGGCTAGCAGCTCTCAACACATGTTACTGGGACAAGCATCGTCGTCTGGGACAAGCATCGTCGTCTGGAAATGTGTTAGAAATTCAGGTGATGGGCCCCACCCCGTATCTGCTGAATGACAGATTCTGGGTGATTCTGGAACATGCTTAAGTTTGAGAACCACTGGACCAAGTGAAGAGACTCTTGTGTTTATTTCCTCCAGGCTAGCAGCTGGCTACCGTGACCTGCGGCTCATCCGCTGGGGCCCCGTGTGAACCTGTGCCCCCTCGTACTCCCCCAAACTTGTAAAACACCTGGGTTTGGCGTATGAGCCACTCTGCTCCCCAGTTCTACAGTATGGCGGCCACAGCACCCAAGAAGACTTACCCTTAAAATTGTCAGAAGTTTACGAATAATTCGGCCCATCGATACAGGAAAACACAGGGGAGGCTTGCTCTTGGCTGTAGCTCAGGCGTGTCCCAGTCCTTGCCCTTGCTCGCACGATTTTGGTTAGGTTCGGGACAGACCAGAATCCAGGGGGAACTTGGTGGCCAGAGTTTTCATTTTCCCATTTGGAAGGTTTCACGGGCAGTTTACATTTCAAAACGGGGGCCTTCCCTTTGCAGCGCCATGAACTGTCGCCAGTGGGCTTGCTTCGATGTCACAAACAATGACTTATTTTGGATGTATATCTACTAAAAATTTTCTTAGCCCATTTCATCCTAAAATAGGAAAAAAAAAAAAACCTATTCAAAGGCTACCCATCCAATATGTCTTTTTTTCTGCTCAACATGGGGTCGCCTCTGAAATGGTACCTCCACTAAGGTAAAGAAAGTCAAGTATATTCCCCAAAGTGTTGAAGTTAGCAGAGACTGGGTCTCTTTCTGTCACCCAGGCTGGAGTGTAGTGGCTTACTGAAACCTAGGCTCAAGCGGTCCTCCTGCCTCAGCCTCCCAAGTAGCTGGGACTATAGGCACACCACCATACCCAGCTAATTTTTTTTTAGTTTTCATAGAGATGGGGGTGTCACTCTGGTGCCCCCGCTAGTCTCAGACTCGTGGCCTCAACTGATCCTTCCAGCTTGGCCTTCCAAAGTGATGGAATTACAGGTATGAGCCACCATGCCCCATCCCCTTAGCTTTTTTTTTTTTTTTTTTACTGCTCCCAGCTGACTCTAATCAAGGAAGTCTATAGGAGGAAAAGGAGCACAACAGAATACTAGCCTCAGTGGAGCTGACTGTGCTTATACTGTAGGGTGGACAGCACAGAACGCAAACCTCCTGAGGACACGGTTAGAACATCAATTTCCGTGGCCCAGCATAGACCCACTGTCTTATGGTGACCAGTATTGTATAGGTGTGTTCTTTACAGATTTAGTGTATCACTGACTCTTCTTAAACAGAAGTAATTAGAACGTTACAAACAGGGAAGGCACAAGTAATAAATAAGCCAGGAGACCAGCCAAGAAATAGCTCTCTGGAAGAGTCTGGAATTTAAAAAAGCTATTCTAGAACAGTAGCTGCTGTGTGCTCCAGAACTAAGGGGAGATATTTGAACTGGAGCCACTAGAGAAAGCTGCTATTGAGAAGTTTTTATTTCATGAGTTAACCTGGGCTTGGTGGTTAAGGCCAATACTTACACATATGATTCTCAAGAAAAGTCTTGGCTTTAGAGTTTGTTGTATTGGGGGAAATAACAGTTACTGTGATCTCAGAGGGAAAATAGCACCTTTGGTTGTAGATAGATGTGGTCTTTCTCACAGCCTTCGTGTACAAGGGATTTTAACAGGGTTGACACAGAACGGATCCCACAGTATGGCATGTGTTTGAGGAATTTTGTCTTTAAGCATTTTCCTTGCACATGTCAGAAACACCCCTGGATCTCATTCCTTGAGTGGTTGTGCGATTCTTTGGATATTTGTAAGTACAAAGAGGAAAACGGATGCCAGCTTTTTTTGTTGATGCTTACTAGGTGGGATATGAAGGGTTCTCTACTGTTAAGAATGGTATCTGTTTTGATATTCTTAATGATCTTAATAACTTGGCATCTGAAGTCTGAGACACTGTTAATATTATTAGTTCAAAAAGAACAAGTTCGTCAACCACTTAATAACCCAAATTAAATTTATATTTAACTCCCTGTGAATCTGATGCTTGGAAGGGATGTTGATCTTATTTGATAATAACTTTGAACTTTCTAACTCTCTGTGTCATGGATTCTAAGCCACTTCCGTGTACTTTCAAATGACATTTTAATAGATTGGTGTTGGTTTTTTTAATGTCCATAAACGAGAAATGTCTGAGAGCAATGAGTGTGGTTTTTCTTACACATTTTCTTATCTTTGCCATTGGAGGTTAACTGTCATCCAGATACGCGTATGAATTGTTAAATGCAAAGGAGCAAACATTCAGGGGGAAGGGAGTAAGTGCTGCAAGTTCTTTTGTTCACTTTAATACTAAAGAACAATGGAAGTGTATTTCATTTTATAAAAAGTAAGAATCAAAAGCCCTCTGTATTTTGATTTATGAAGAATATAGTTTATCTCTGAGTGAAATAGCTCAGGATATATCTGGGACAACAATGGAATCACAGTGTAATTGTTTGCTTTTGGTGTCATGTTTGGCTTTTAGCATGGATCGTTGTGCGTATCAGTGGCCTTTGATTTCAGAAGGAGCTTGGCTAGGACAGAACGCATAAGGGGAGGAAACCTTTGTGCCCAAGAGAATGGCCTGGGTGTCACCATTCCCAATTTCCTTGAATTTCTTCTTGGCAGGCCCCACTGTAATAGTTCCACAAAATTGTCATGAGTGGCCCTTCTCTGGAGGTAACAAGTGGCTTTCCTAAGAACCAAAAATTCCCTGCTCAGCGTGCTGCGACTTGAATGTGGAAATCATTTTAATTTCTAATTTTCTCTTATGAGGAAATTTCTACGCTTGGTTTGTCAAGACAAGAGAGTTCATTTCTTGTTATTGAAACACTAATGAATTGAAACACGTTGAAGCAAGTAAAAAAAAAATCTAATTTAAGCTGGTTTCTCTTAAATAGTTTAAAGCCTTCCTTAGTACAAAATAAATTAAGCATTGTAAAATGAAGTTAATTCAGGTAATTACTCAGTACAGAAGTTTAACTGTATATATCATTGGTATTGCAGTTTAAGGGTATAATTAAATTCTCAGAAATCTGCAGAACTCCTAATTCGGTTTCTATATTTATCTAATAAGACAAGGAACAAATGTGTGTCAGTGTAACAAAGGGGACTTGAATGGAGAAATTATGCTTAATTATCTAGAACTATCCAGTACTGGGCTTGAATTAATCATATTCAAATAAGTTTCATTTTGTAGCCTATTACCATATACCATATTACTTTATAATTGCCATTTATTGGTCCTCATCAAAAATTTTGACTCCTTAAGTAAAAATCAACAAAACTGTACATTTGACCCAAATGCATCTGGTCAGGTGACTGAAGGTATGAATTTGACAAATCCCACAGAATAACTTTCTTCAATCAAGTTAGAAAACTGAATATTGTGGTACTTGCCTAGAGACCTCTTTTTTCTCATTGACCTTATCTTTATTTGTTTTAAACTATTTGAATAGATTGTTGTACATGCCTAGGGTATGAAACTAGTATGTAGTGGAAATGGACCTGTTTTATTGATAAAATGAAGAGCAAAGTTGTTTTTAAAAATTAACGTATATCACTTTTGTTCTTCAAAAACAAGTAAAGTAACCTCAAGGAACACCCATGCAAAATATCCTTTTCTCAACATGCTATTTTAAATTATGTTCTATTTGTAAGAAATGTTTTCCTTTGTGAAGTGATCCTGACATTTTGAAAATTCGATAAAATAATCAAAGGAGCTTTACATTTGAATTGGCCCTAAAGATTTAAGTATGGAAAACCCAGCATGAAGCATTGGGATTAAATTGATCCATAAGATTTTGAGGTGCAATGTGGATTTGTTCCCACTTCTGCTCCCATGATATAAGATAGACCTTTTATGAAGGTTAAAGTATGTGACCTTGATTCCTTTGCAGAGAATCTTGACATTCCCCAAGTGGATTCATTTCTGTTTTCTAAGTTGATCTAGTCCTTGCTCAGGACTGATATAGTCCTAGGCGAACTCTCTACACTGCCTTTTATTTTGGTGTCCCAGGTATCTCTGGTAGCTTGTAAATACATTTCCCCTTTAGTCCTGTTCATAACTTTTCAGAAGCATTTCAGTATCACGGAATAATACATTTGAATAGCTGTGCATGAAATGCTGAGAACCTCTGCAGTTGAGGAAGCATAGCTCCTTTCTTCTTAAGTGTTTTGAACATACTGACTTGCCATTTGGCCCAACCCACAGGAAAGATGCCCTGCCAGAGACATGAGGTCCAGGCTGGGGATCTAGGGGCTACATAACAGCATGGCAATGCAAGTCACAATCCATGGGTCCAGGCTGCTGCTTTGCCATTAATTGGTTTTATATGTTTGAGGACAAGTCACTCGCTCTCCCAGGCCTCAGTTTCTTCATCTGGCAAATAAAATTGTCTCTAATGTTTTAAGTGCCACACATGTGCTTTTAATGTACTGAGATAAACATCTCTCTCCCAAGTATTAATTTCTCCATCTGTTTAAAAACAAGTTTTCTACACTGGCAACATAGTGGAACCACCTGGATAGCTTCTAGTTAAATCAGATTCTCTGAAGTTTGGCCTGGGCATTGGTATTTTTAAAGCTTGTAAAGTAATGATTCTCAAGAGACATCATAGTTAAGAACTATTGTTTAAAAATGTGGTGTGTGCATGTAAATACTGGATGTTGGAAGAGATGAGGTAGGCTAAGCGCTGCATGTCTTTTAGAAGAGGGACTTTCAGCAAATCAGAAGGGAGCTTTCAAAGAAATGAGTAAGAGGCTGTGGGGACAAGGTGTCAGTCAACAGACATGCATTTTAGTCATGCAAAGAGATATTTTGTATTTGTCTGAAAGCCCCCCATACATTTCTTCTGCTTAGACCCTACACATGCAAACACACCCCTTCATCTTTGCCAACATTGAGAAATTGTTACCCTCATTCAGAAGATGAGTTTTTAAAGCGCCTAAATAATTGTCTGAAATCTTTACATAAACCTCTGGGGTTTGTCTTTGATCCATGATCATTAATACCATTAATAGACTCTCTAAAAGTGCGTGTGAATGTCAAGTTAGCATTTGGCAGGGCAGTGAAAGAATGAACGCTTTTAAAATAGTTTGGCTCAGAAAGTGCATCTGAAATAACCCTGTGGGAAAATCGGGAGAATTTCTCATCCTCCAAAGGATTACCTAGGATGAGATACTGACCTTGTATTTTAAGTTCAGTTACATTTCTTTAAAACCTCATTCATTACCCAGCCTGATTTATTTTGGGGGGTGAAGTAGGCTGTGGGAGGGGCTGTCTGATGATGTACGGTTTTTATGTTTGCTTTTTGTTTTCTGCATAGTTCCCAAAAGATTTTTATCATAACGTGTATATATATTTCTTAAAAAGAAAAAGAAAAAAAAGACCAGCTTCTTCATGAGATTTACTACAGCTTTTCTCTCAGAAATAAGAGCTGAAGAATTCTCTCCTCTTCAGGCTCTAAGGCGATCAAACCCCAGAAGGCCGAGTGTGTACAGGGCGAGCAGAGCGCTGACCTCTGCCGGGGGAGAGGTCAGTTCAGCACACAAGACTCAAAAGGGAGGAAGAAAAAGCAACTCCTCAGCAGGGAGTTTGACTTGCTTTAAGGCAGAAGAGCTTTTATAAATGAGTTCCCAGTCTCCCACGCCCTCTTGCCTGCTCTTCTGTTACTATCCTGTCTCTGTGCTTAGACACACACACACACACACACACACACACACCCCCACACACACACACACACCCTTATTTCCACTCACTGCCTCACATCCTCTCTCCACCTGCCCCAGGAACTGTGGATAGACTGGCAGACCCTGCTCCAAAGGCGGCAGGTGATGGATTGACTGGGAATTTTTCTAGGCCCGGTGGCTCCCAAGGCCTTTTCAGTTCCTCCTCAATATGCTTGACTGGTGAGAAGAACGCAGAGGGCTCTTTCCCAAACCCACTATAGGTGCCTGGGAGGATTAATACCAGCTCCTCCATTCCTGTTGTCAGAGCCAGAAGGTGGAATGGTAAATCAGGGCGACCTCCAGCCAGGATGTGGGAGACTGGGCTGGGCGTTTGGGATGTGTCCCAGTAGGAGGAGCCAGGAAGGACCTTCCTGTAACACTGCCAGAGGCTTGTGAAACAGCAGCACTACTTTCTTCACATTCTCCTTAAAATGGTGAGCCTTGTCCCAGTGCCCTTCTGCTCAGCATGAGACCATCTAAAGAACTGTGGAAGCCGCCTGGGCAGAGCTTGGAGCATCTAGAAAAAAAACATCCCCAAGTGGCTCTCCAGTGAAATGCCCCATCAATCTGAAAACACTTGTGGGCAACAGAGTTCTCTATGCCAGAGATGCAAGGGCTCTTCGTTGCTGCCTGCGTTCTTGTTTTGATGTCAACAAGAATATTCACTGGAAGAACCTTGCAGAGCTTACCTAAAATCTCTGTACAGGCTCAAAGACAAGCAGATTCTGCACCTGTGAATTTTCTACTGCAAATTGTCCTTGCTTTCTCTTGAAGATAGTATTTCTTGGTACTAGTTTATCAACTTTCATATTTTCCTAGGCCCTTGTTGTAGGAACGACTTTGACTCCTGTTTCTTATATTTGTCAGTGTAATTCCAGGTCATAATGGTGTATTAGAGAAGCTCACTAAATGAGAGAAACCTTAACTTTCTGCCATCAGCTATGCATGTCTGCCCAGGCTGGTTGCCCACCATATAAGGGCAATCCTAGTAGAGAGATGGTGGAAGAGAAAAGTTTGGCTTGACATTTAGCCCCTTCTCAGTCCGAAAGAAATGACCACACCGTGCAGTGACAACAGCCAAGGAGGGAACTTCCTTATAGGGAAAGGCCCTGGGGGTGGGGATGGGGGCATTAAAAAGTATTTATAAAATGTCCAATCCACTGAAAACTTCATCAAGAAAATGAGAGTCAAACATGTTTCTAAGGAGAGAGAACTGGCTCAAGACTTTGGTGTCCTGGAGTCCTCCAAGGCCCAGGCACCTGAGTTTCCCTCATTTGGCACTAATTTTATAAAACAGCAAGGGGAGGGGATACAGAGGAAAGAACTGTGTTGTATTCTTATTTGCAAGCCGTAGACAGCTGTCTACACTCGCAGACCACACACTGTTGTAGACTTTAATTGGGCACCAAGTTTTTGTTCAGTCCTGTAATTCATTCTTGTCTTGAATGAGCTTTTCTTTCTGCTATACTGGTAGCAGGCACTGAATTGATCAAGGAGAAAGCCGACAATTTGTAGAGTCACAGTTAAATACAGCACCTACAAGCAACATAGTCTAGTATGATTCCCTTTAGAAGAGGCCTGTGTTAATGTTCTATTGCTGTGTAACAAATTACCATATATTTAGTGGCTTAAAACAACATAAATTTATTGTCTCATGTTTACGAAACTTTATAGTAGAGTCCTCTGCTTAGCATCTCATAGGGCTGAAATTAAGGTGTCATTTGGATGTTCAACTAGAGAGATCTGCTTCTAAGTTCCCTTATGTTGTCAGCAGAATTCAGTTTCTTGCAGTTGTAGGACTAAGGTCCCCGTTGTCCTGCTGGCTGTTGGCCAGGGATTTCCTAGAAGCTGTTTCTCAGGTCATTGCCACGTGACACCCTCCCCACCCCCTATTTCATCAATCGAGAAACCTCCTTTGCATTGAATCACTTTCATGCTTTGAATCTCTCTGACTTATGTGACCAGCCAGTGAAAACTCTCAGCTTTGAAAAAGCTCCTGTAATTAGGTCAGCCCCACCTGGTTAATCTGTATTTTAAGGCCAAGACGAGACTTTAATGACATTGGCAAAATCCCTTCACAGCAGTACCTGGATTAGTGTTTGATCAAATAACCAAGGGCCCGGAATCTTTGGGGGCCATCATGGAATTCTGGCTACCACTGGATCCAATAGCCCTTAGCTCTTGTCTGACTTGGGGCCCAGTTTAATGGTAAGAAAGTAGACTATCATTGGCATCTCACTGAATTCGTTAATCTTTTAACGGATTCTTATTGTATCACAGGTGGTTTAGAGAAAATACTGAAAGGAGTGTTCTTCCTACAGCCCTTTTTATGAATATTAACAGTGTGGCACACACCATCGTGGCAGACAAGAAAACTGAAGTGCACAGAATTTCAGAAACTTTCCCAAGTTATTAAGTGACAGAGCCTATAATCCAGGTCTGGCCAACCCCCAAACCCCAGAAACTGGGGTTAGGCTACACAGGCAGAAAATTCCAAACCAGCAACTGGGAAAGAAGAGCTGCAATTGGAATCAAGGAAGTCTGACTCCAGAGAGCGTGCCCTTGGCCATGCAGCAGACAGCCCGGCTTTGCACACTAAGAAGGTGAAAGTAACAGTCGAGAAGGGTCAGACCCACGTGGAGGCAGAACACTCTGGAGGAAACATTCAGGACGTCTTTTGTAACTGCACTGCAGCCGACACTGTCCGACTGAGAACTCACAGGAAGAAGCACAGAAATAACAGGGCGTGGATGTGGAGAAAGCCGGAGGTTGTGGTGAGACCTTATCCCCCTCCCTCCCGCTCCCCTTCCTTTACCCAGAGGCGCTTTTTCCTTACTTTGGTGCGGACCTGTATGCTACATCACGTTTGTGCTCTTCCCTTCTGCTTTGTGCCTTGAATTCTTTCAAAAAGTACTTCCAAAAAACGTCACTGCGAAACCGGGGAGGACTCCCAGAGGGTATCTGATTGTTCATGTCCTCAGCTTGGAGGATTTATGTTCCTGTCTCGGGGATGGGGTTTTCCAAGTCATTCAGCGTGGGTGCCTCAGCCAGCGCGGAGGAAACTTCTGCATAATACGTGTAATTCAGGCCTCGCCTGGCACGACAAACAGGTTAAAGACGACTTGTGGGATATGCTGCTAATCCACCAGCGCCGGGTGGGGAGAGCGGAGGCGTAGCCTTTTTGGGGTGTCAGGTGGAGGAAACAGAGCTGCCCACAGGCAATTCCAGGAACGCCCAGATGCCCAGATCTGTCTGTACCGGCCCGGTTGCACACCGGACGTGGCGAACTTCGATTCATTCAAGCGATCTGGATGTTGGTATTGTTAAATCCTCATGTGATTTGTCCGCGATAACCTGGAAGGAACCTGCCAGGGCAAGCGGAAGTGGTTAGGGAACGTGGGATGAGGCCAAATAATAACTGCCGTCGCCTGCATGGCCGGGGACCCGGCGACAGTGTCTTAGCCACTGTGGGCAGCATTGCAGTTCCGCAGTCGCCCGAAAGCTGTGCGTGTGCGTGCGTGCGTGTGCGTGCGTTTGCGTGTGCGTGCGTTTGCGTGTGCGTGCGCACGCGCAGATTGCAATGGGACCTACAGGGGCTGTCGCTTTCCTCTCGGCACCTCTTTCCCTGTGACTCATTTTATAAGTCTGTGAAGCAGAAACTAAAAAGGAAATCTGAAACTTCCCAAGAACAAAGCAACAACCTACAAAGGAACGGGACTTAATCTGCCTTTGATTCAGAAAACACCTATTGCTCCCGGATTTATAAAAATGTCACTCTCTAGGCAAATCCAGCTCAGATCGGCGATGCGGTCTTAGTGGCAGCTTCCCGCGGCCTCCCTTCAGCCTTTGTGTCCGTTTTTGTGAAGCGCTGATCTCCCAATCCCTCATCTTTGAAAATCACGCCAAAGGCAAATTCCCAGAAGAGGCAGAAAACCAGCCCAGGAAGCAGTAGCCCCATTTGTAGTCCTGGCTGTTACCAAATCTCTGTATGACCACGGGCAAGTCCCTGAACCTCTCTAGGCCTCAGTTTCCCCTTCTAGCAAGATAGTGGGAGTTGGATCCTTTGATCGGTGTAAGGTCCCCGATTGCATTAACATCCAGTGAGTCTGGGATGAAGGCTTTTCAACTGCACGTATCTCAGCAAGGATGAACGAAAGCAGCTTTTCACTCCTCAGGTGCAGAACAGAGAGGGGGCCAACCCGTTTGGTTGCCTGAGTAGTCATTAAGAAGCCAGCTGCAAACTTGGATTTCCCTCCGGGATCACGGATGATCCCCACCAGCCTTGCCAAAAAGAGCTTTTTAAAAGAAAGCTGTTACTTTCATGTTGCTGGCATCTGCATTTGCTCTCTGGATAATTCAACCCTTGGGTGCCCTGGTGTGGATATTTGCAGGAGGGTGGGTTGTGGGAAGCAGCAAGCAGACCTCAAGTCAAGGTTCTTACTGGATTTAAGAACCTTTACTCTCCAAGTTAATTTAGCCTGACTTGCATATCACAGGTTAATACTGGACCCATTCATAATGATACATAATTTGAGACTTGTAAAAGCTGCCTTGGACTTGAAAGAAACACACTCTAAGCCAGGAGGTTGTGCCCGGCATGCAAGAGCAAGTAATACAGGTAGAATATATGTCCAAAGCAAGGGAGCCACGCCCTTTTGACATGATCTCGGAGGATGCCATGCAGGTGTTTGGGCCCCTTGGCTGCCAGGCAACCATACCACTGCAGTCCTACAAGCCTCACTACCCCCATCTTGCTCTTCCTTTTAACAACCATTGGAAGGCAATTGTTCAAAAAGGGAAATTCGTTATTTTTAATAGACCCTGAAGTATTTCATGGACTTGAAGTGATGCAACAAGATTGCCCTAATGGTTTCTACACTTTGTTTTTAAGACTTCTGGGGCCAGAACCATAAAGAACTGCCTTGAGGCACCCTTCTACCTCAGATAACCAAGCTGTTTGTTGGCATTGTTGGAGACTGACATAGCCTAAGCTGGGATGTTTAGCTGCTTGTGGGGTGGAAAAAAAATGTTAAGAAAAATAATTGTTGTTTTTGCAAACTATCTATTTAAAAACAGAACCTCAGGAAGCAGATTTCTGTTCCAATGCTTGGATGAATCAGAGCTTACAAAGTATAAATACACATTAGCAGGAGGAGGCTTCCCATAACCCATGTGCTTGTGTGTCTTCCCAGACCAGGAACCTCTGAACTCCTCTTTCTCATTCCCAGTAAAGGCAAGAAAGAGACTCACAGTAGAAACAGAAATAGTGGAGCATTGCTCAGCCCAAGTTTCAAACCCCTGTAGGCCTGATTTTTTTCCCCCCTCTTTAAAGGCAACTGATTTTTAGCTGCACACTCGCTCACTTTGGGGCAGACAGGTGTATTTAGAAAGATGGGAAATCCATGCTCTGGAACCTTTGGCTCTTTGCTGCCTAAGAAATATTACTAAAGTTAACTTTGACTCTCTGACCCCTCAGATCAGGTAGTTAAACACTTAGACCACAACTTGCTCAAGGGGCAGTGTAATTATTTTACTTAAAAATGATGTCAGGTGGCAATTTAGCAACAAACTGGCTTCCAGGCTATTTAATTCAGTTTAACAAGAAGGAAAAAACATAATTAATGTAGAGCTTGTACTTTAGCATAGGTGTTCTAAATTTTTACTGTCCAGAAGCTGGGGAGGAGCATGGCTTATTGAAAATTCAGATTCCCAGGCCCCACTTGTGACATGTCTGGTCCAATAGGGGTCTTGGGTTGGGCCTAGGAATCTGCATCTCAAATGAAATCCTGAAACCCATTTGCAAGTCATGCTTCTAATCATTACTGTCTCATTTGGCTTTTATTCAATTAAGACATATCCCCCCTCTTCTATTTCAATTCCACAATGTCTAAGTCTAGAATCTCAAAACAGTTTCTTCCCCTAAAACATCCAACTTCAAGGATTTCCTGGACTTTCAAGGTATACTCTAAGGCTAGAGTTCTAGTTAGCCAAGTTTTTTCTGGCTGAAAATTCTTTTTCTTCCAGAGCCCCTTTAAAGAGGGCCCATGGAGAATCGTGAAGACACTAAGTCCCTTCTTTTCCACTATGATCCCAGGAAAACCAAGGCTCCGTTGCCTGCTTCCTTTTCCCTGGAGAAAGGGAAAACTCACCCCCTTCACAATTAAGGTCCTGGCTTTGAGCTGTACCCAGAGTAGCCCTCCCACCACCAAGAGCATCCCAGACAGAAGCCGCCTCAAGACAATACCCATGAATATCAACATCACTTCCCTCCTGAAATAAAGAGTTACAGTGCTCATTAAACTATTTTTTCTTGGCACAGCAGCATTTGGCAGCTACCCAAGGAATTCTAGGGTCCTGCAGAATCCAAGCTTACAAACTGCCAGAACCAGGTATTGCTTCAGGATGGTGTTTGAAGCCAGTGCTGCTAAACCAGACTGTCTCCTGGCTAGTAAGGTCTGTACTTCTCCCTCCCTTCAACCCCACCTTGCAGAAACCAGCTGTCTACAGGCAGATTAGCAACAAAGTATTGCTACACTAAGGCAGGGAGCTGTCATGAGAAGCCAGACTCCTCATTGTCCAGGTCCTTCAGGCTGCCCACGCAATGAGCCAAAACAGTGTTGGCAGCTCCTAGGGCTGTCACAACTCAATCCAATGGCCTTTGCTGATGGAGAGGACACTGAAAGCCTGTCATCCAATTCTTATACTAGATACCCATTATAGAACACTGCTCCTAGCCTAGTAGAAAACAGCTTCCCCAAGAATGAAAGAAAAACCCAATTAGCTTTTTCCTACATTGTTTGCTGCGCCAGTTGAGTTCCACTATGAAAACTGGAGGGTGGATGGGCCTGAATGAGGCAGTGGGGGATAGTTCTGAGAAGGGTAAGCTTGGGCTTCCTGACCAGAAAGCAGGGAACTCCTGGCACCTCTGCACAGCTGCTGGCCACTGTCCATGTGCTCATCCCCTCAGCTCATTCCTCCCTACCAAGGTGCCAGGGGCAAGTTTCCTCCACACCCCACTCCACAATGTGGGGACAGGGCCCCGGGGTTCTACCAGTATGCCACATTGGCCTCTGCCCACCCACCCCCACCGTCAAAAGTGAGAACCACAGCTCTCCTGCCCTTTATTTATAGATGAAGACAGCCAGACACTGGAAACTTATGGAAGGCCAGAAACCCAGCACCCCAAGGCTGCATGGCAAGGCAAGCAGAACTCTTATGCCCTGGAAACAAGGTGATGAGTAGATGGGCCCTAACACTAGAAGCTTCTAACTACCTCCTGTGCAGTTAAGAAACCACCCCATGGGTAAACATGCACCCAAGTTGCAAGGGTGTGGTCTGTAATGATAGAACAAGACATTAATATGAATCCAAGCAGCCAGGGGGTGAGAAAAAAAAAGCATTAAGTCTCCCTCTTCAACCCCCAACACCAATTCCAAACCCTTTAAAACCCTTTTAGTGCAGTGGCCAGTCCCCGTGAGTGCTCACAAACAATTCACCTCCACACTACAGGCCATTAATCCAGTGGTGTTTATTCAAGCAGTATTCACACTTGCTGTTGAATAACAAGGGAATTGGGGCTCCCACCGCAGCCCCAGGTTTCTGAGAACTTCAGATGAATTTCTTGGTTGAAAAGCCTTTCAGTTCTTGTCGGTGCCCCTGTCAGGCAGGGCCTATTAGAGCCCGATTACCAGAACAGACTCAGTGGGGTGGCAAACACACAGGGCAAAGCCGAGCAGAACTACGTAAGCTCAGAAGAGGCCACACTGTTCCATGTTTTCATACAAAAAATTTAATAAATATTACTTTTCAAAATTTATTGCCAGGAACAACACATCAAAGATGCATTTTTATGTTCATATAACACTAATAGGACAATACAAAGTATCTTCACGGTCTCAATGGTGAACCAACAAGATTACTCTGTTTTATAAGCCTTTTTGATCTTAAGCTTTGTAATAGCACTTTGATTTCCTCACTTAAGGCAGGCAGTGTACTCTATGGCAAATCTAAACAGTGATCTTACTGGACATTTTATGGTTCAAGTATTCAACTAGCTTATTAGAATACTCCCTAAATGCAGATTTAAAAAAAAAAAATTCTACAAGTGGTTCAGTATTACATACGAATGGTGAAAAGAAATCAGAATTTACAAAACAAGATTGGTGTGCTTCCAAAGTTTCACACAATTAATTTGATATTTTTAATGATATTCAACCACTCACATTTTGGCTACGTTAAGTCATAGCTCAGCTTGTTCCCTTAAACTGCTCTGTAGCAGATTGCCTGCCTGTCTCTTTTCAAGTCTAAAGCAGAAAAAAAAAAAAAAAAAGAACCTGTTCTAGACTAATTCTCAAACTGCCTCAGTCAGTCCTTAAAACATGTTTTAAAGTGATGCTATAGAAGGTGTTTAACATCTGATGCCATACAAAAAAATTCCATCAGTATTCCAGGCACAGAAGCCCACCCTATCGTTTTAAAATAAACTATTGTCAAACACCTTAATTTTGGCTTATAGGCAACAAGTAATGAGAAAATAAGTTCAAAAAAATAAAGCCATACACTTACAATGCTATCAAAAACCTTCAATTCTAAACACATACATATAAATAAAAAGGAATGATGTTTTAAGGCTCTTGATTATTAAGTTAATAAATCAAATATACACAGTGATTAATAAAAAAAGAATTATTTACATAACTATACAAAATTCTACTTTTGACACATTTTTCCTCTTTAAATTCTTCATTTTACCAGCAACGTCCTGACATCAAAGTCCCCCCTCCCCCGACAACAAAAATACAATAAAAAAAATAAATAATAAACTCATTTGTGATAGTTGCTGTGGTTCTGAGCTGCGAAGGCACTTTCAAATACAGAACTACTTGTACGTCATCATAAAACCAATATACAAAAACAACTCAAGAGTCAATAAATATAAATAAAACTATGATCCTAGGACTGCATCACCATTAGGACATCTGGCAGAAGTGGAAGCTCAAGGACTAGGAGCTGGGCATGCTCCCGGGAGCCCGATCCGAGACATGTCGGCTGCAGGAGAACATACGCCAGGGCACTGTTGACTAGTTTTTGCATAGCTGTGAGATGCAGCGCTTGAATTCCCAGCCAACCACAGAAACTACCATTGCCAGTGTAAGCCAGCTTGTCAAAACTTAAATTAACACAGGGATTCTAAGTCAACAACAGCCCCAGACTCGAATATGACAACAGTTTTAAAGAACTACAAGCCCTCAGAAACTACCTAGTGGTGGCAGCACCTACTGTCTGCTATACGATGTACTCCATCCGGTTTAAGCTTTGGGCACTTTCCAAGTCTCTGTTGTCCTGTTTGTTTGTCCAGTTTGGGTGTTTTGTCGGCGTGCCGTTGGGGGGCTTCTCTTCTCTGTCTACCAGCGTGTATGCCGGCTGTTTGGCAAAGCGGGCTTTCTGCTGGTGTTTATCCATGTCGTCCTCTTCTACTTCGGAGTTGTGTGTCCTTATTTTTGACATTTTGGAGTTTTTGTTCTCGTAATCCTTGATGGGGACCGTGTTGGCTCCATGTTTCTCGATGGGGTTTTTGATCTGGTTCAGCTGCTCCCGCACGTTGTTGGTGGTATTGTCCTCAGAGGCTGAGTGAGCGTGGCTGCTCGGCTTCCGCCGTTTCCGCACGCACCAGTAGAAGGCCGTCACCAAGCAACAGATCCAAGCCACGGTTAAGACAGAGCTCAGCAAAGGAACCAGGAAATCTGTAAGGCAGGCACAAAACCAATTAACTCTCCCCCCGCCAAAAATGAAAAAAAAAGCAAAGCCATCATCATGGGAACAAAGAATACCAATAGTGGTTCTCCTGTCTTTAGTCCCAAAGAGGGGTGCCATGGGGACAAGTCCCTTTTCACAACTGCTATTGTCACTTCACAGCTTGATAAGTGCTGGGATCAAGGTCCTAGGAGACCTTGACACTTCTGTCTCCTGCAGAGAGCGAGTAGAACAGCAGCTCCCCCAGGCTCTCCAAGGGCATATGGGAAGAGCAATGTCTAGTTGAGTTAAGGAGCTGGTTTCCAGAATTATCACAAAGCCGATTCACATCAGGACAGTGCCAACACCTCATGGCTGGAACAGTGATGTACAAGATCCTCAAAAGAGGAAGTCTGGATGTCCTGCAGGGCCACCAAGCCTTGCATAGCAGCACTCGGGAGTGACCATCCCATGACACCAAAATGCCAAATCAGGCTTTGTGCAGTTTCAAGTCCAAGGATAACACCCCAGGGCTTAGTGATGATCTAGACACAATACCTGTTCTGCAGGAAGCCTGCGCAGCTTTTTGGCAGGAGAAAAGAAATTGAGGCAGCCCCTCCACCCCTATCAGCCAGGTGACCCTGGTCAAGTATGAGCTGGCCTCAGTTCTCCTGCCTGTTAAACGGGGGGCTCCTTTGAGGAGGAGGAGACCACCAGGTAATTCCCCACCTGATCGTTTCACTGAATGGTGAAATGACATCCATTTGAGAGTCGTCATAAAAAGGGAGCATTCCCACCAGACACCTACCTGTCCTGTTCTTCAGAGGACGCCTCTGAACTCTCACTTCCGCAACAGCAGCGATAAGTGAGCTGTTTCCATCACGCTTACTAACGAGATCTATTATTTTATCAGTGATTTCCTTGATTGGGTTTCCATCATCCCGTATGTCTTCAGCAGACTGGGGAAAAAATAAGTCAGACTTGAGAGTCGGCGGAACAGTCAATGCAGCTTTTATTCAAAGTTACTTGATGACCCTGTATATAAAGCCCCCACCACCACCACCACATGTATCTGCACCATTTGGATACTGGCTAACTGAAATTTGTTAACTACCTTGCAATCAAATAATTAGGGGTAAACAGGTCTTGTACTTACAATGGCCACATGTATTTCATTGTTTGCTGAAGGGGAAGGCTCACAAGCTATGTAGATTGAATATTCGGCTGAAACATTCTTCAAAATATTCAAATTCCTCAATTCACTGCAAATGTGCTCAGTTGTAAGACCCTAAAACAATTTTAAAGATCCATATATTTAAGATGTTGAAAGAAAAAAAAGGCTGATGTTCTCTTTGAAGTTAGGCTAAGTTCAAGTCTCACTCTGCTGTAAGACAGGAATTGAAGCTAAGGAGATCCTAGCTTGTGACATTCCTTTAAAGCAAGCAGACACACACGCCATTCCAAATTTTAAAAGTCACGTACCGGTGACATCATCTCTTTGTTAAAGGTGAACGTGATGTTTGCACAATTATCCTGGTAGTAGGAGTCGGAGGTGCACTTGGTCTTCACCGGCTGGAGACTGGAGGACCGACACTCGCCCACGCCGGTGCAGGGGCGGACAAAGCACTGGTCATCCAGGATGGGGATGCAGCTCTGTCCACTGGGACACTCGCCGTGCCCTTTGTGGAGCAGGCAAGGTCGAGGGCCACACCAGACCTAGAGAGAGGAAGACGGGAGCTGGGAAGCTTAGCAGGAACATCCACCCGGGTGATTCCAGGACACTCGTGAACCGCAGTGGCCATCACCGCCTACCTTTGAGCAGGCGATCCGTCCGTTCATGCACTGGCAGGTATTACAGTCGTCGTCCCACTTGGCCCCGTCTGGTATCACACTCCCCATGGTGATGCAAGGTCGCCCTGAAACTGACAGGTGGAGACCCGTGAGCAGGAGTTTATTTTCCTGTAGATCAGATCAATTCTCAATTCCTCAACTCCCTTCCTTGTTATGAAATAGCTACAACTGTGCCCTTTGTCACATGAAGATGGTTCCACCCACAAAAACAGACACATGTCCGTCCTCCCCGCCACACGATGTGACCTGCTTTGGCCAGTGCAACGTCAGCAGATGTGGTATGGGCAGAGCCTTTCACCGTGCTTGGCCTCTTACCTGCCTACCACGAAAATGCACCCCAGTCATTGTTCAACCCCCACCCAACCCACAGCATAATCACTCTGTCCACCCTGCAGGTCATGAGCAGAAAAAAAAAAAAATGCTTGCTGAAAGCCACCAAAGACTCAGGATAGGTTGGTTCAGGGTATTGTAGCAACAGCTGACCAAAAGCAACAACTACCCTGTTTGGGGGAGACCCCTCAATGTTTCCCTTTCCTCGTAGCCCCCACTGTGTGTTCCTTCCCCGAGCATAGCACCTAGTTGTGAACAGTCAAAATGGTAACTGCAATGCCTGCTCAGCACAGAAGACCTGTGGGCAGCTGGGCCTGGCATACATACCTTCCTGGCACTTGGCACCACTGTGCCCCAGGGGGCAGACGCACCGGTACCCGTTGATCTCATCCACACAGGTTGCCCCAAAGGCACAAGGTGAAGACTGGCATTCGTTGATGTCTACAAGAAACAGAGTTCAAGTTTAGGGTTCAGTGGAATGCAGCAATGTTTTTTGAAGTTTTTTATTGACAGAAAAGCACATAATCATAAATGAAATGTTCACTCATGTGACCAGTACCCAAAAACAGATCATCAGTATCCCACACAGCCTCCAATCACTGACCCTCCCCCTCCCAAGATTACTACTATCCTGACTTCCAACAGCTGACCACCATTTTGGGAGGCAATATTTTTATTTAAGTTCATTTTTCTCTGACAGCACAATATAGAGCAAGACTGGCAAACTTTTCCTGAAAGGGGCCAGATAGTGAGTATTTTAGGCTTTGCAGGCCACAAAGTCTCTTATCACAACTACTCTACTCTGCCGTGGCATCACAGAAGTAGCCATACACAATACACAAACAAATGAGTGTGGCTGTGTGCCAATAAAACTTTATACAGACAGACAGTGGGCCAGATTGGCCCATAGACCACAGTTTGCCAACCCCTGACTTAGAAAAACGAAGCAGAGATAAGCTCCTCCACCAGTGCCAAAATCCAGTCAGTTTCAGACTTGGATTACAAGTTCCAGTAAAATTTCAAATAATTTGGGTATAAGAACAAACAAACAGTAACAACTACTCTAGCATCTATGATTTTGGAGGGTGGGGAGCAGGCATAGAAAAACATGTAAGAAAGTAAAGCCTCGAAAGAATAAACTTTAAGCTTCCTGCAAAACTGCATTGCCTGCCCCAACTTTTCTGTTTTAATCACTTCTCCAGGGCCTCATCAAACCCATCGAAATCTTTGGAAGCCACAGTGCTACTCCCCCCTTCCACTTGCCCTAACTCGGTCCCATGCCAGCGTAGCTGCGGTTAACGTCCAGTTGCCCGTAATTTTATGTTAGTCACAGGGGAAAAGCACACTTTCCTCTGGGCCCCAGTGCAGATGAGCTGTCAAATCCTGTGGCTGGCACTCTGGCCC